GGCAAAGGAGAGGCCTGGAGCTGTGCGGAAGGCTGCTAAGTGGGCCGAGAGCAAAGTAGGGCGTCGTGCAAGTTTTCGCACTGGCCGGAGCCCCCTCCCTCTCCAGCCCCTGGGGTGTTCACTGTCGCTCTGGCCAGGGATGTATCACCAGATAGGGCTTTACCTGATTGTATTTCAAATCCAGGCACTCCGCCATTGTTGCAAGCCCGATCCCTGAAGTCCGCCTCCCTCCTCCCCAAACTCACCTTTTTTTCTAATTCCCCGGTTTACACTAAAATGAACACGGCTTTCCCCCAAATTTGCCCTGAGAGCCTAGGCGAGGCTTCTGTACACGAAGGGCCAGGGTCCAGAAAGAAGTCTGGATCCAGCCCAGAGGCAGGTCTGACACGTGATCCCCTACCCCCAGCGAGCCATCTGTTCTCTTTCCTTCCCGCCTGGAGGCTGGCTGCTCTGCCCGGCACCGTCCACGCCTCCCAGTAGGAAAGAATGAGAAACGCCAAGAGTTGGCGGAACCCAGTGCCTCGGGAGTGTGATTTTAACCTAAACCTCCCAGGGCTTTGGATAGGGATGAGACCTGGCAATAAATATTTTAAATTAAACTCGGGGGATTAGTTCTACCCTGGCTAGTTGGGGAAACTCTGCGTTGGGCTCATATTGAATAAAAGTTTCCAGGGAAGGGGCCTGGGGATGGGTTGCATTCAGCCTAGAAATACCTACCTCATTTGGGCTTGGGTGGAAAACTTTATCTAGGAAAAACGAGGGGATTCTCTAGGCCACTTCCCACAAACTAGCCTGGAGAAAGAAAGACCATGAAATGAAAGAAGAAAGTTAAGGGATTTGGAACAAATTGATATTTGTGCCTGCTATCCCATCAAATATTGATGTAAAGTATTCTGACCTTCACTGCCATGAAGAGCTGTTTGTATAGATGCACAGCAAATGAATTGGTGTTGAAAGAACTTAAGTCTTGCCCAGTTTTTTTCCATAGGGTTTTTTTTTGGGGGGGGGAGGGGACCCCTGGAATATTTGGAGTTTGGAAGGAACTATGGAGGTGCATTAATTTAATTCCATCATTTAATTAACAAATAGGGAAATAACTCTATGAGGTTGCCTAAAGTAACACAGCTCATCTCAGGCCCAGGAGGCCATTGTTCTTGAGAACTTGGATAATAAAGCCAAGGTTTAGGAAGAATTTAGAGAGGAAAATGCACATTTACAAACTAGAAACACTGTTATAGTCTTTGAATTCTCCTACTCCTCCCAGTTGGTTTGTGTGGATTTGAAATGTATATTTATAAAGATTAACTTGGGAGGAAAACAGACCTCATATTTATGTGGTGTAATATATATTTTACTGGTAAATTATTCATTGTAATTAGGAATGATTCATATTAATTTGGGATAATTTATTCTGCCAGAATTTTAATTAGGACAATCACATGCTGGCAAAACAGCATAAGTTGGTTTTAATAATAAAATTTATAACATGCATCCCAAAACAGTAAGAAAACCTGTTGTTGAAAATACAAGAAAAATAAATCCCAATGTAGGAATTATTACTTGTGATGTTAGGGGTGGGAGGGAGAGTTAACCGGGAAATGCAATCCATTCTCCTTACCTGAGAACCGCCTATCATCAAGGAAAGATTAACAATGGAGTCCCAGAGGTGCCCTTTGCAACTCCCAGCCCCCAATTGCCTGTAATCTGTAACCATTATACCCATTCTTATTCCTTTTGCCTACTTCCCCACGTAATCCTTGTCCTTCTACCTAATATAAGCAGCTGGTTTGTGGGGAGTGGAGGGAGACAGAGCAGATTTTCGTGCATGACCTGCTGCTCTCCCTTGTTGCCTGCAATATTGGAAAATAAAACGCTCATATTCAATTCAACCCTGTCTCTGCTTAAGTGGCTCAAGTAGTGACAGGCAGCCTGGACCCATGTGATGTCCGGTTTCATACATATATTATATATGTTTTTAACTTATAAGCCTAATTGATAACAGCGTGCCTTTTTATTTCTGTACTTCCCCATGCCTAGCTCATTGACAGAAACATAAATATCTGGGGAGTGAATGAGGGGAAAAGGAGGAAGAGAGTTGTCTATAATTTTCGAATTGTTGGGTTTAAAAAGGTATTATAAATCAAGTCAAGCAGCAGTTATGTTTGCAAATGTGTGTGAGAAATTCACGTGTATGAAATCTCAGTTTTCTTTTTATTCCTTTTATAATTCTGAAATAAATGAGTTGGAAGAGCTCAGGGTTTATGTTCCATTTGAACAAAATTAAATGAAAATGAATTAAAGAGGACAAGAAGTAGGGAAGGGAAAGTTTATTTTTAAAAAACTGTGGTGACTGATTAATTCAAGTTCCTGGATTGCAATCACCAAGGAAAGATACAGATTTTCCTTCTTTTCTAGAATATCCTCAGGATTAACTCTAGGGCTGTCTGAAGATGCCCAGTGCAATGCCAGTTGCAGTGCTAGTCGGACTGTGGAGAGATCCCTCTGGTATTTGTGCAGGATCTTAAAGAGGCATGCAGAGGTGCAATTGCTAAGTGGTCATGTATCCTTGGGGACCGAATTTGTCCCAGAAAAATCATGAAGTAGGCAAATTCTCCTGGGCTTTAGGGAATTTTTTTCCCCCTAAAATTAAGGGGATTGGAATACCAGAAACCTGAGATGGCTTCACTTTTACATGCTATGATGTATGTACCTATCTTACTATGATGGTGATGATATTCTTGGTTGACCAGCACCATGTTTCTATACTTCCCTTTCCCCTGTAGTCACCTACGGCAGTATCTTCCTCTATGACTTCAAAAGCAAAAGCAAAATAAACTACACTAGCCTCCTGACTGGAACAATTAATTTGAGATCCTACCTTTAGAGAGCAAGAACTCGGTGTTACTTTCTTAACAAAGGCTAACAGCCAGTGGGAGTCATGGTTGGATCTCACTGGATCTGCATCACATAGCGGCAGGTACCTCTCACACCCACTTAGGAAAGTGAATGTATTTTTAATCAATTGTGCTGACAGAAAGCCTTCTGCAAGAGACATTAGCCCTAGATTCTTTTCTTAGCTATCAAGATGGAAAACAACCCCATCATTCATTAAGAGGGAGAGGCAAACTGAGTTAATCAGACTCTAAGACCCATACTAATTGTTGATCAAGTAATGCCATAATATTCAATGGCTAAGGATCTCTGGCTGGTTACAGTTAAGAATCTGTTTAACATAGTTAATATTTCACCAAACCAAAGAGTTCAGTTATTGTTAAGCTCAAAGAGCTAGAAATCAGGAGATCTATGATTTCAATTGAGTTCTGTCACTATCTACCAGATAAGGTAGACAAGCCACTGTGTCCCCAGTCTCCACATATGTTAAGGTGGAGGGAAGAAAACATGCCTTAACAATCGTGCAGGGGTCTGGGGAAAGGAAATGAACTAAGGATGGTGTGTTGTTGTTTTTTAAAGTTATATAAATGAGGGATATTGTCTCCATTTGTCTGAAGGTGGGTTACAACTTCAACAAAAAAACTTATTTAGAATAAATTGCACTGGGGAAGAAAAGGAATTTGGAGGTATCACAAAAGCAATGATGGGGTGCTTCCATGTAAGAATAGCCAAACAAGATGAAGATTGTGCTTTAAAACAGAACTTTGTTAGCTTGGCATTTTAAAAATTAATTGGTCATAGTTCATGTATTGGATGGAAGGACTACTAAAATTCTTTCCAAAAGTGTATTGCATACCAAAACTGAAAAAAAAAGAATTGCTACTTCCTCGATTGTGTTTATAGACTCAGATTGCACTTATTCATCACCCATCCCTTTCCAAACATTTCTCAATTTTACCACCAACAACACAAAATACAAGGATGTGTCCAGTTCCACTACAGCTCTAAGCATTTACAAGTGTTGAGCGCTTGCTTTCGGAACGCCCTTCTGATTGGCTGAGCCAATGTCAGTGACATCAACCAACTTACTTTTCATTGGAAGGCTGGTTGCTGGGACTGTCGCGTTTGCAGGAAGTCACTTAACTGTTTGCAAGCTGGAAGAGCCGCACCAGAAGTTCTCTTTTGCCACAAGAAGGGGCGCAACCGACCAGCGAGCCTAGGGAACGTGAGTCCCACGGCTCCGCAAGCTGGGACGGAGCCAGGAGGCCTGGGCCGGCCCCCGGACCTAGAGGCGCTCCAGAAGATGAGTGCCTGCTCCTTTCCAGCCCCCGGGCTGTTACCCTTTTAAATGTCAGCGTTCGTGGCTGTCGGGGTAGCACGAGGCACCGAAACAGAACTGTCGGATTGGCCGCACGCCTCAGCTCTAGACGCACCTCTCCACCAAAAGGCCCTCCTCACTGGCAGGGGGAGAAAGTAAACAGAGTTGAATCACCCTCCCCACTGGCCAATTGCAGGGGGTTTGGATTGTGACGTGATGGGATTCTGCGAAATTGTTACTGAGCAAGAGAATGCCGAAACGGTGCGGACCGGCCAGAGCAGGGGCTCAGAAACCGTCAGGGGACCGAGGGGGAAAAGTGTCTCGTAGACGTGGCGCTCGGTCCGACCCTCGCCACCCGCGTCGGGGTGGTCGGGTGACGGTCCTGGGTCTCTGACTCCAGGGAGAGGCGGAGGAGGGCGTGTACCTCTCTTGCAGTTTCCTCTCCCGGCGCCTCGGGGGCGTATTCAGTCGACTAAACTTGCGGCCGCCACGTGTGGCATCTTTCCAAGGAAGCCGGCTCGGAGCGGTGGGCGC